TCGGATTTTGAGATTTTGCATAGTTGGTAGATTATTTGTAAGAACTTTAATATAGAAGGAGTATTTTGAAGAGCAATATTCAAGAGAGTTGAGAAATTTGAAGATAAGATTCCAATTTATATTAGATGTATAATTGTTAAAGAATTTGAGAGAAGTCTATGAGAGAAGTTCTTGAATTGTAATAGTGCTTTTGATGAATGAGTGAATTTTGAATGTTATTGTATAATTATATAAGAGAAAGTGAGTAGAGAAAATTTAAAATTTAATTTGATACTTTTAAGATATATTCATATCAACACCTAGTACTCTAAGTGTTTCATGTGGGGCATATTAAGCAATAGAAATTTGGATTTTGATGAGATATAATTGGTTGGATAGTGTAATACATCAATAAACTTATTTACACATGCAGAGTTTATTGCATAATAATAATACTATAATCAATTTATAACAATAGTACTGTAGCAAAGATATCATTCATGCTTAAAAAAATTTTCAAAAAATTGGCTTAAATTTCTGAATGAGAAAGATTTAATGTAATCATTAATGTTTGGTAAATTACAAAATAAAAAAAATTCAAGCACATTCAATATTTTAAATATAGATCATAATAAACTAGCAAATATTAGTATAGTCCATGTTTTTTTTTCAAAGTCAATTACTAAAAATAATACCTCAACCACCTCTATTACCAAAAAAAAGGGGTTCTATATGAGTGTGTCTCAAGTAACAAATAAAAAAAAAATCTTAAAATAAGATTCCCAAATTATGAATTCAGAGAACTTAAAACCCTACTGGAGTGATCAAGTAAAAACATGATCACAAAAATTATAGTTACTTACTATGAATTCACATTTGATCCTATTACAAAATTAAACAAGTCAAGTTCCAGCAAGTTTTAAATGATAAATTTGCAATATTTAAATATTTTAGTAGTATTTGACAAAATAATAAAATTTTAACATATTTTATATTAGGCTTGCCTATGACTTTGATTATAAAAATTATGCCATATCTCTTTGACTACGCAAATGTCTTAATAAGTGTGAAAAAAAATGGAAGTATTGGAATCTATGTATCAAAGAACTTTCAATACAGAAAGGAATATTGGAAATGGAGTAAATAATGATTGCTTTAGAAAAATAAAGAAAGAATTCCGTAGAGCAGCAATAATTCTTTATAAGACAAACCTTAAACTTAGTTGCAAAACACCACTAGATATGATGAGTTTCTCATATTTACTTTGAAAACTTTAAACAAGATTAAAGTTTATTAGGTAGCATTAAAAAAAGAGTTAGAAATAAAAAATAAAAATAAAAAAATTGTTTACATGCAGTATATTTTTCATATATATTGTATCAAATCTTTTTATCATCATGAAGCAAAATGAATTTATAAAGAGGCAGTTTATTACAGATAAAATAGACATTAAAAGATCTGATATATACATTGATAGTATATTGATATATACAGATACCCAAGTCATCTAGTTAAATAAGATTACATTAAAATTTTTTTTATAAATTTTTTACTATTTCAATAAGCATATTAAAAACTTATAATCGAATCACTAGCACTAAGGACATATTATAGTGTGCTTAGCTTTTAGTACATTTAGTCATTTTTGACTGAGTCATTATTAAAATTTTTTTGGTATTGTTTAGAAATATTAAAATTTACCAGTATTTGTTGCTAAAAAAAATGAGCATGCAAGAATTGCAAAGGAATATGGGGATGCATCAATTAAAACAAGGCTTATAGCTTTTTTTCTATTTTGAGAAAATCATATTTAAAATTTGGTGTAATAATAATAATAATGATCTATTATTAGTATAACCCGTTGGATTGACTTATGCTAGCCAATCACATGAATTCTTTTTTATAACTCTGCATAAAGGATCGACAACCAGATATCCAAACTCTAATTTTAGATTATATTTAATTATATATAGCATTTCAAAAAAGCAGGTATTGACAAAAATTTTATTATGTAAATTGATGCTTTAAATGCCAAATTATATAAAAAAATATCTGCTTTATATGTTGGTATGGTTAACTTATTTTTGCAAAAAATGCTATAAGCCTGACACATTCTCATATAATTAAAAGCAATTTATTCAACTATTTTAATAAATTTTGATTATTTAATCAACACTAATTTAATATAAAAATTTTGTTAGAATATACTAATACAAGTTATAAAAATTTGGACATAAATTTTTCTATACAGTATAATTATTTTTCTATCACATTTGTTAGTGTTTTATTTTGAAATTTAACAGTTCTTTGCAACCCAAAACCTACAATTTGGGTTCAAAACCTCTTGAAGCTAAAATGTATATATAACAATAACATATAAACTAATAAAAGAAATCACATATTATGTGTATTTTGGCACTAGTGGATGTTGAAATAAGTCATGTAACAATCAGTTAAATGACGAAATGTTTATTTGCAAAGTAGCAGTAGTTGTAGATATTCGATGCTTTCTGAAGATTTTTAAGATATACATGTCACTTACTGTAGTGAAGTGATTTAGTTGTGAAATTTTTGAGTCAATTAGTAAAATTTTTGTAAATGAGTGGAGGGTTTTTATATAGTCTGTTCACTATAACAAGGGTGATTGCAAAATATCAATATGAATAGAGTTACAGCACAAATCAATCTTAATTTGGACCACAACTAAAACAGCTTAATGCCACAATTTCATATAACAATAAAGGCTTGTTATTGTTCATACTTTAAAAATTAATTAGCTTAGAAAAAAAAAACACATTTATTTTATTTATTTTTTTTTTTGGTATTAAGGTGAGGCCTTGCTCATATCTTTATTGATTAATTTATATAAGTAATTACA